CAGGATAGAGCAGGGTTTAGGGCTGTTGTGCATAGGGTCGCTATGAGTCGGAAACGACTCGACAGCACATAACAACAACAACAACAATAGGAGAAAAAGGTATAAGCAAAATTTCCATTTCATAATTATACACTATTGATATGTAGAGATGAAGCATCTTTGATTTACTCTGATATGCGGAAGAATTTTCTTTTTTTTTCTCTTCCAAAAACAATATTATATGTAATTTATAGCATTATTAACAATTTTCCAATCACAGAATTTTAATTATTTAGTAATCTTGGAAAAACTGGTTGTCAACATAGAGCTTTGTGCACTATCATAACCTCTGAAAACCAATATTAACTTTTACTCAATTACTTTTTTCCCTTTGGAACTGAGTAAATATGCTCTTTTTGTGTATTCCTTTAAGTACTCGTCTTGACAGCACTTAATAACAACAATAACAATAGAAGGAAAAGAAAATAAATAATATTTTTTAAAATTTCCACTTCACTGAATATATTCGAATATTCATAATTAGAAATCATAAACCATGCATTTTAACTAGTAGCATTGTCTTATATAATTAACAAAAATACAATGAAAGTGAAATTTTCTTTCCAACACACCATTCTGTGATAGTCAGTTGTTTTTAAAATAAAACTATTGGCATTTGTGGTGTACATGGACTAATGTACAGTTTCTATACCAGAATCTACTTAGTCCCAAATCAGGCATATCACTGAAGAGACCGATGACAAGAAGCTTTCAAATAAACTTGACTATTAGACTGGAAGTGGTTAGTGATGACTCCAAGGCTATCCAAGCACAGCAATCCTGTCTTCACAATGGAATTGTTTTCTATATATGCTTTATTACTTTTTCAGACAGGGTCCGGTTTTACAGAAATATAAACAGTAAAATGGTTACCTGTTCAAATTTAACACCATGATTTAGACTGATGCTTTCATTATAAAATATTTGATTGTGTGATAAATAATCCAATTCAATGTAATTTTAAGAAGAACCACATATACTCTAAGCTGATGAGTTTAATAACAGAAATCTCAACTAAATGCTGTTGAGTATTAAAGAGGTCAGATAATGACATTTTATAATTAAAGGCAAATAATGAAAATAAAAATAAAAAATCTCATAAAAATCTCAAATTTCAGGCTTAATTTGTGTGTGTGTACAATTTTAATGCCTATATTTTTTAAAATTTGAGGTAAAAACGCCTATTTTTCTATAAACTAAAAGTGAAAATTCCTATAGAAAATTCTGAAATATAGGAGCTATCCATGTCCCTCTAAACTATCCTTTTTTTGTCTTCTGAAAATATTTATAATAAATACGAAGTTACATATCAACATATGAAACATTTTATCTTTTGAAAGTGCCCCTTTTTCACTTTCTGAGGACTGTGCTATAATAACAAAGAACTTGACACCTTTTTTCTTCTTTTCATACCCTATGATCATAGTGCTTTTCTGAGCAGCTGCATCCTTTGTTCAAGAAGATTCTGTGATTACCTGAGAGGAAATGAAGTCAGTTTCTATTTACAATGAATTCTGTAGCTTCTACATTAAATTCAAACTCAATGAAAACCTAGTTCCTCCTATAAGAAAAATGGCCAGGATTATCTCATATTGGAATAGTACATGCGCAATTTCTTTCACTGATTATCTTAAAATGTGCCAGCTAGTTCATAAGCACCTATGAACTGGATAAGATACTGGAAGGTATGTTTTTATGCATACCTTTATATGCAACATTAGTATATCCCCAAGAATTTTTCAAAGGTAAGGCTGACAAACTTTCACATAATTTATGCTAGTTGTTTACCCAGGATGTGCAAGTTTACTAAATTGAAGCATTACCTTCCCTAAGATCCTATGAACAACAACAATAACAATAAACCAACTGAAAAAATAGTTCTTTACAACTCTACAAATTATCCATTAGATGAGGTTTTCACACACTTATTTTACAAATTAGTTTTGTTGGCCTAGTGGATAGAAAACTATGCGACCAAGCCAAAGGTGGGTGATTTTAATCTGCGGCACTCAGGCCTGGTTTTAATTGTTTTGGTCAAACATTCTTCTAAGTGTTATAACACTTATGGTCTGACCATTTGCTGTGCAGAGGTTAACTCGTGGTTATTGTGATGCTAGATACTGTGACACTGATGTGAGAATGGTTACCCATGATGGACAGTGTTTGGAGGAGCTCTCCAATTAAAACAAGCTTGGAATCAGGTATGGGATCCATTTCTGAAATAGCTTCCTCTAGTATGATTTACAGCCTCTGTAAATCTGCTGGAGGGTCAGCTACAAGTTGGTTCTGACTCATTTACACAACAACTACAACAGAGGGTAAGTAAGTCTTTGAACAACTGAAGGGCATGAAAATGATGCTGCTTTGAGTCTGAGGCTAAAGAATGTGAAAAATATAGGTTAAGGGGCACGAAGAACAGCAACAACAACAACAACAAAAAATTATTGTCCATCGTCCTTGAGTCAAAATTGACTCATAAATCTCTATGTATTTACTTGAGCAAGGAGCTCTAGTGGCATAGTAGAAAAACATTTGCCTGCTAACTGAAAGGTTAATGGTTCAAACTTACTAAATATTCCCTGGAAGATGGAAGAAGAAATCTGTTCCTATAAAGACTATAGCCTTAGAAAACCTGCAGAAAAGGTCTACTCTGCCCTGTCAGGCCACTATTAACTAGTATTCTTTCAATGGTAGTAAGATTGGTTTTGTCTTTAGCAATCTTTGCTACAAGCCCCACATTTAGTGATCAATTTTGTGTGTGTGTGTGTGTGTGAACTCTATGTAGTTCTGAGGACTCACACTTAAATATAAGATTGATAATAAAAAATTTGGCCTATCAAACCCATCAGGAATTATGTGAAAGCAAACAAACAAACAAAAACACCTGACAATATGCTTCCATAAGTGAACTGGAGGGGAGGTTGGACAGGGACAAAAGTGCAACAATGAATGAATGGAAATTAAAAAAAAAAACCACACCAAAAACCAAACAAACAAAAACCCCACTGTATGGACAGTTTTACTCTTCCACATGTAAGTTAGAATTGACTTATAGTACACATAATCTACTCTA